TTAGCCCTTTTAACTACCCTTTAAAAGCTCAGATAATGAACCAGTCAGGATGAGTTAGGAGAACTAAAAGTAAGTTCTTTGTTCTCTTTGTCCACCGCATATACCTCGGAAAATAAAGCCAACTGCCATGAGACCTGAGTGTCTCACTGAATTCCTCTGACCCCAATCTCTCAGATTGAACCATAACCTTTTTATACACCAAACCTAATGCAAACACAGGTGACTACATGTGATTATTCATTTTGCCTGAATAGACCACTATTTTCATTTATTTATTTTGCTGAGAAACCCAACACCTTAACACATCGTGTCTGATCAGATAAAATTCAATTCAATCAAGCATTTATAAATAACAAAATTAAAACTTACCTTGATGGGGATGACAGCAGTCTGCACCATATTTCTAAAGCGTCCAACTGAGGGGTCTATATCCTCTGTAAATATTTAACATAAAGGGGTTAAGATGTATTGCTGAATGCACTTCTTCTCATGAAAAGTATTGTTATGACTTAGTCATATATTTACAGCATAGCAAGATGGCCCTTATTACAAAACCCTTCAAATCAAAATCTGTAAAAGTCTTGAACAAAAGTGCAAACTGGGAAAATATATTTACTAAATCATACATTTGGTTTAAAGGTTAAAAAGTGGCTCAAGTCAAAACAACAACAATAAAAAACAACCCATAACAAAATAAAGTACAATCTCCTTATCAGTTAAATGATATAAATCCTTCGCACAAGCATCTTGAAAGAATTTATAACAGGATTTATAAAATGACAACAAACTATAACAAAAAAATAAAATTGTTTGGCACCGTTAGTAAAAAAAAAACAAAAACAAAAACAAAAAACAACAAAACTGTTTAAACACAGAGTTGAGTCATGGTATGAATGTTTCTTTGTTACCTTAATACCATCTTCGCTTTTATTTGTACCTGGGTTAATGATAGCGTCCTCCTCACTGAAGGTAACTCTGGAGTTCCTGCGTTTCCTCTTAGGCCTCTGGATTTCTAAGTTACCCTCCTCGATGGTCAGGAGGGAGATGCGCTTGTTGTGAGCTGTGTTGAACTCTGTCAGGTTCTGACAGGATGCAGACAATAGAAAAAAAATTAGCAGTGTGGTAGCATGCATATCAGGGTATATCACAATTTCAAACCACAACACTGTACCATACATACTGAGTAAGATAAGTTGCATCATAAAATTATGGGGAAAGTAAACATAACTGCTTGTTAATAAAGAAACAACAGAAACAAACAGGTCATGTTTGTGCCTACTGTGGCCATTAGATCTTACATTAATATAATGTTCCTCAATTTTGGACAGTGCATTTTGCATTAATTTATTCTGTGATGTGGCAAGATTGGAGAAGCGAAATTTACAGTTCAAAAACATATAAAAGTTATAAAAATCTATTCTAACAAAAATATATTCTTAAATATTCTTAATTAAAAACACATGATGCAGTCATTTTCCTTCTATTTTATGCAGTTCATGTTTGACAGCATGAGAATATCGTTATGCTCAACCTCTAGTTCTGTCTCTTCTTCTGGGAGTCCTAGCAGTCCTTTGAGCTCCTCATCCTCTCCTGTCTTACTGTCTGCTGTGCCAGCAGTTTGGGTTTGGGGTTTCTCTCTGATGGTGTACGTCCGTGTTGAGGCCCCAAAAGATATTGTGGAGTCTATAGGAACCTGCTGAGGCTTGTGTGCCTCCAGACGAATGTGTCCAAGGAAAGTACCATGTGCTAAAATAAACGAGTACAGTAGTATAAATAAGGAGATTAATCATAGATTTGAATGTTACTTCATTATGGAACTAAATCAAGTGCAATTCAGTCCTAGAGACAAAGCATGTATTGCCATTGCACTAAGTGTGTGAGATGGAGCAATGATAAAAACAATTCCTCAAAATGGTTCGGGGAAGCAATGAAAGCATAAATTATAACTTTGTATCAAAGAAGTGTAATAGAGCTAATGATTCCACTTACCATAAATTGCGATTATCTCTACCAATGTAATTTATTATTCTTACACTCACTAGAACAATTAATCAGTTATCAGTATAACTTCCGAGCCATTTTCTATCAGTTTAACAATTGATCATCTAACAGTTTCAGCTCTAATGTGAATTTTTAAGCTCTTAGCATGTATGTCAAACTTTTCCAGACAGTGGTTCTAAATGTAACATGAAGCTATAAGTGTTACTGATTATGAATGATGCCTTACTGCTGTTGAGATCTATAAGAAAGACCCTTTTTAGGTGTTTGTGGTAGACCAGGGCAGCATGGACACGGGAGCATGACTGGTGGTCAATGGTGAAGTCACACCAGTCAGGATTCCTCCCAAACAGGTAGTACTTCTTTTCATCTATGATCAGTTTCTACAGAAAAAAAGCGTTTCAGTGTGTCACAGTCACAGCAACAGCTGATGAAAAGGTCTGTAAACAGCCTGCAATGAATGCCTTTGTACCTCTGAGCCATAACTTAACAGTGTTGCTTCCCACTGAAAAGCTTAAATCTCAGGGCTGCTGCTGCTCTCGCACCGTTTGAAGCCATGCAGCCATAGAAAGTCCCACCGTGCAACACATCTGGGACAAGGTGGACTGTCAGGCTCGTATCTGGTGCAGTCAACTAACTTACCGCATACAACACTATCCATTACATGCTTTAAAGTAAAGTAATTTCCTGAAATAAAGTAACATTTACAAGCTTCCAGTTACCTCTATCAGTTTGTCCGCTTTCATCACGTCTAGATGGAGACCCGGGGGTGGCTTGCCTGCCCTGAAAGCAAACGATTGGTGAACGTTTTACACATTTAGCAGCCTTTCTTACCGACATGTATGCATAGTTAATCATTACAGGCGGTAAATATCATAGCTTTACTGTTCTGGCCATTATTAAAGATTAATTCATAAAAACGAAGTGCTCGACATCCACAGTTAACATGAAAACGCAATACTACCCCAAAGGTTATGGAATATGATAAAGATCCTATCTTAATTTCTAAAAGTATTCTGCAAATGTCTGGCATTCTTGAAATTAAACATGAGGCATCTTCTTGCGAAAAATACACCCAACACCATTTTAAACTAATGCCAGCGTTAACGGATTATCGTTACGATGCTAGCTTGCATATACGCTAATGTAGCTACAGCAAACAGAAACTTTTCTCTGAGCAATTGTAAGTTAGGTTACGTTAATGAGTGAACGCTGTTCTGCTCATCTGCACCTGATACTGAACTACAAACAAACCGTTACAACTTTAGCATGAGCATTTTCTCACCATGATGGACAATCAAAAGGAGCACTATCTTTGCTTATGTTAGTCGCCATCCTGCCTCATCTACTCAGAGCCGAGCTGCATGATGGGTAAATGTCACCGTGAGATTGTGGGAGTTGTAGTTTCGCAAACCTGCCAAACAATATATTCAAAAACATTTTACACCATGTTCCGCTGAATTATATTATGTTGCTACTGACTTAAACTTCTGTTAATAAAGTTATCAAGTTTATAATGTGCTGATATCAAGCAAGTAAAATCACAGTGAACAAGAACAACTTTGAATTTACTCAAGAACCACTAGAGGTTCCCAGACTCTCGCTTTTTGGCTCAAGTTAGATATGTGTTGGCACTGCTGTGGAAAGCTAATGGTTTTAGGACCGATACACCGCATGTCTCGTAGATATTTATGGGACACCGGGTATTGTTGTAACACCAAGAGAGTACTAATACCACCATTTGCACCAGTTATGAATAGGACAGAAGCCATATGATCATTTTAGTGTTTAGACATGTCCCCTCCAATCCCGCATGGTTGTTGTCAAGGTATCAGCCCTGTAACAGACTGGCGACCTGTCCAGGGTCTGGCTCAATGTGAGCAGGGATTGGCTCTAGTCCCACTGCGACCCTCGTTAGGATAAGCGCTATAGATAAAGGATGGCTGGGTGGTTGGAAAAAAGACAGTATTTTGTTTAGTGCTTATACTATTGCAGAAAGGTATTATGGGATTTATATAACTGTAGATTAAATTGTAGTTTCTCAGACAAAATGTGATGTATTTGACCACTGCTAATTTCAGACCACTATGCTAATACAGTTAGTAAACAATGGCTGACAGGGCTGAGGTGGGTTGTAACACTTTTTTAAAATGTGTTGTAACCATCTCCTTACATAGAACTAAGAACATTATTTTATATCACAGGCAAGAATTCACACTTCCAGTCCAGAGATCTTCCAACCCCCAGCCTGCCAAAGCAGCCCGGAAGCAGAAAGACCCCGAACCAAGCATTGCTATACAATATTAATCATTTCTGGGCTGTCGAACCGTGACGTCACCTGATATGCCAGCTTGGCAGCTGAGCAGAGCAGTAGACCAAACATGAAGAAAATAATGTGTGTGGCTGTTGTTTTCGTGGTGTGTATCTAAAACAATTTGACATAACATTACACATTAAGACAAATATTATGGTTACTTTTACCGTCATAATAACATTCGTCCCTGACTTGAGCTGCCTTAACCAACCTTGCATTTAACAGCCTGAGGAAGACAACCTGGCTGCACTAACATTCAGACAACAAATCTCTGAATATCTATCTAACTAAAAAATAACCCAACAACACTACACTGCTCACATACCGTCGAGGAAGCATGTTCTAGTAGTGTAATTTACAGGCGCACACATGCTCTCCTTGGTAAAACTAAAAGTAGATTTGAATTATGGTCAGCCACAGAGAAAGAAAGAGAGACATTGTTCTGGATTGTTTTTATATTTTGAAGCATATCTGACTTCTGTTTTTGCTTCTTTTATCTAGCTGTTACATCTTAGCCTAGCATATGTTACAAACTACCCCATATTTCACATTAACTCACAAAACCTGTGATATTTGTGCCATTTGTGGTAAACAAATGCGTACTCTGTATGCATGTTTGAGAACTCAAGCTCAAAAATTCAATGAGTTACAGGTGCTGGAGCAAAAAGTGTTACAACAATCCCTGGTCTCTACTTGTTGCAAAGGCCTTACACATTATAAGGTGTTGTTCTTGACTCTGGTTACAGAGAAGAACATACTTTATTCCTCTATTTATATCCAAATGTTGGTCAAGGTAGTGTCTGATAACAGGGATAACCAGTCTGAATCATGGCAAACAGGGGAATCCCACAGAGAAGATTAGTCTGATGTTCAAGGCTGTGTTACAGTTTGTCTGAGTGTTGTGGGTTTTGGCACATGCTGTAACTACCACCCTTGTTCTGTCACAGAGGTGGAAGACTGGTGGTGGTGCTGACTTTTTATATTATGTGTATGAGGTAGTTTGAAGAGACATATGCTAGATTTCCTGTGTGGAAGATGTGTCACAGGCTTTAAAAAGCAATAGGAAGAAGATATATTGAGAGAGAAGGGCAGCACGTGACTAAAATGAAATTGCCAAAGAGTTGGGGAAACTTTTTATCTGACTGTTATGTCTATTATGGTATCAGAAGGACAGACTGAGGGGAACATTCTGTTTGGCCCTGTATAGGCTTCACACACATTTATTAAATGATGCAAAAACTTTGTGTATATTATGGGTGTACACTGCCACCCCCCAACACACACACACTAAATTATGACACATTTGCCTATAAAGGAATGCAATTTATCTTAGAGTGTATTGGTGGATTTACTTTGGATGAAAACAAAGCAGGCTTTATACTGCAATCAACTAAACAACAGAATAGCAACTCAGACATTTTCTCTCACAATTTTGCAGTATAGCAGTGGTAAAGCCATATCACTTGGCCTACGCCTGAAACTGCAAGCCTTGTGCACAAACAGCTCCTGTAACTTCCTCATTCAGTTTTGTGGTTTTAACTGCGAAGCATCCTCATTGTATGCTGCGTTTGTCATTTGCTCTCTGCAGTGATGGCGGGCACAAATGCTTTGCCACTTCAACAATTAATTGCATCATTTGACAGCAGTTGTCTGCCAAAAATCCTACAAGTTTCCTCTGGAGTGTATTTCCAAGGTAGGCAGTTTGTTGTTTAATCCATTGTGAACTGAAACTGTGAGTGTAGATGAAGACAGAGCTGAAGAGACTGGGGATTACTTGAAGAATTTAGATGGCTATAGTTTGTAATGTGCTTCTGTACTGTGTTTGTCTGTTGCATACATTTATCCAAATCATGAGTTATTTCAGCCAAATAGGGCAGCGAGAATTAGGTTTATTTAAATGGTTGAATTCTACAGGATTGATATTAAAAGCAATTCACACTGGAATTTATAAGATTGTGGTCCTGGTTAAGAAAAAAACACATTTTATTTATGCTTGATATAGCTGATCTTGGCTGAATGGTGATTTTGTATTTTGCTCCTTCTTTGCTCTATTTCTTACTTTATGTTTCAGGGTCTATATATGAAATTTCTGGGAGTGAAGTGTCCTTTTCCACGGGGGATCTAATAAAGGTCATTAACATTGAGCTCATATCAGTTTGCTGTGAAGACATCAGCAACAATGACAAGTTTGAGCTGCCTATTAACCATGCAGGTTGGTCTGTGCTATGAGCAGGGCTCTCATGTGAACAGCTTAGTGTTTCATAACTGACCGCTCACACTTGTTTGTTTCTCAGGCTTGTTCAGGATTGTTCCTGAGAAAATGGCATACAGTACAATAGAGGAGATGGTGAGTCTGAGGCCTGTAAGCTTAGATTCCTGCCTTCCCTTCACTTTCTCCACTCACTCCAAGATGACCTTTGGCAATTTCACACTGGGCTGTGGGAAAGCTTTGACTGTGCTCTCCATTGAGCGGCATGAGGGCGAGGAGGATCAGATCCGCTGCCATGTTCAAGGGCAACAGGAAGCCTCAGCTGAAGTGTGTATCCCTCTCTCTTCCCGAGGGGAGTTTTATGAGTGTGAGAGCGAGGAGGTCTTCACGCTGCGGGAAATCATGTCCTCGCCCAGCCTGCGTAGTCGAAAATTTCATTTCATCAACACCACTAAATATGAACATCCCCTTGTCCTCAGTCCAATATACCAGGTCCACGCTGTCATGAACTGTAAGAATAACTATGCTTTTTTTATCAGTACACACAAATATCTATTTGTTCATCAGAGTGTATTAACATTTTTATGTCTAAATAATGCACAGAATATAATTTCATTTGTTATTTACTCAAGCAATGTATTTCAATAGGATTTTGAGGTACTTGTATTTTACCTGACTGTTTCCATCTGAAAAGAAAATATTATTTTGAGGTACTTATATTTTACCTGACTGTTTCCATCTGAAAAGAAAATATTATGCATTTATTTCTTTGGCATAGTTTGCAGTTAATATACAAGATTTTATACACAAAAGCAATGATCATGAAATGGGATGCATCATTATAGATTAAACTAGCCAAAAAAGATGAACTTGTTAAAATTAGCATCGCTTTGACCAACATGCATTACTAAAAATAATTCCATAATATAATGGACTGTATTAAAATATAACATTCATATGGACCATTTTCAAAGTACATTTGGATTTGAATGCAGTATAGTGGAAAGAGAAATTTTGTAATGTATTGCTACAATTACTTCCAGTAAAGGTTCTGAATATTACTTAAATATTTATATTTCAAAATATTCTGCACTCTGGTTTCAATTTATTTATTTTTACTGAGTGTCTCTGCTACATTTTCTAACATAGTTTGTCCTTTTTACTTTCTTATGACAGTGAGGAAGAATGTGTTCAAGTTCCCGTCCAGCTTAGAGGTGGATGTGGTCGATGTCACGGAGGAGTGTAAGGATGTGAATTTTGTCATGCCACTCAGTCTGACAGAGGTCATTTCCCAGCCAGATGAATCTTTCCCTGCAGTAGTGGAGATAATGGAAGGCCCAGACACCAGCTCTCCATTCAATTGCAGCTGGCTGACAGAACTTACCAAGAATGAGCAAATGGTCTTCCACAAGAAAGGAACTTCAGCCATGATTTTATTATCCAGCTTGAAGAGCCGGAAGGCACAGCAGTACTTCTTGGTATCTCAGCACTATGGTGGACGATTTCGGAAGCGGCCGAGAGTGTTTAATTCAGTATATGAGTTGTATGTTGCTTCCATCGAGGCATCAGGTCTGAAGGTCAGTGTGACAAAGAACTGTGAAGAAGCTGAGGAGGAGGGCCTGCCTGTTCTCAGTGTAGGGGACCAACTGGAGGTTGTTCGTTGCGAAAGGATGGAATTGCCTTGTGGAAGCAGCAATGAACCAAAGCAGTCTGTTGAAGCTCTTTTTTGTTATCGTCTCCAAGAGCCAGATGATGAGGATGATGATGATGATGATGATGATGATGATAATGTGGTCAAGCAGGAGGATGAGAGAGAGGAAATTCTTCTGCCTCTGTACATGCAGGGTCACTTTGTGGAGATACTCACTGATAACAAGAAGTACAGACTCAAGGACTTGGGAAAGAATAGTTTGCCACTGGATGTTAAAGTGGTGAGTCGCGATACAGAACTTGAGTCTGATCCACTAGCTGGGTTTGCATGTCTCAGAATAGAGGGGGCTATGTTAGAGCCCATCATCCAGGCAAGCTTTCTACACACGCCCAACCACTGTTTCGAGATCCCAACCCAGTGGCTGTCAATGTCTGTCTTTTTCACTAAGGACCCCCTGCCATGGCCCAGTGGGCAACCCCCTAAATGTCACGTGGATAAGGTTACTGAGGTGAAAGACACGTTCTTCTATGAATTTCGCAAACAGGGAAGCTCAGATGAGGCTCCTCCACCTCGACCACCAAAGCGAAATGTATTATCTTCAAAACCTCCAAAAAAACCTAAACACAAAAAGAAATCATCCAAGGCAGATAAACTGCAACATCTATCAGACAGTGTCCCAACCAACAAATTGCACAATTTGACCATAAATAGCAAAAAAAGGCCCCCAGCTCCTCCACCTCCGGTAAGTATGACATTTCATACATGTATTATACACATGAGAGCTCAGTTTCCACATTATTGTGGTTCAGCTGTAGTTTCAAGGTGTCAAACATCTGTCTCAAGCTACTTTGTAAAGCAGACCACAGTGTGGTAATTTACACAGATACTTTTTATTTTGTCACAGTGTGACTTCAAGGAAAACCCAGTACTAAGAATGAATGCAAACAGTAGCTACTTCCCGTTTTGGCTGTGTTAAAGAAGTCATGCAAACTTAAAAGTGTCTGTCTAATTTCCTCTTATTGTGCAGGATAGTGCAGATGATCAACCTCCACCAGTTACACCGCGAAAGCACTCAGTAGCTGAAATGACAACAGACAAGGCTCTGCCAAACACTTATGTGAAAATCGAGAAGCCTATGAAAAAAGGTGAAGCTGCTACTGCATCACACAGGGTACAGCCATGCTGGCTACACATAAAGCATAAGTCTGATGGTATTTTACTGCATATTCTGATGTCATCATAAACCAAAACCAACAATACTTTCCTACTTCCCTGTCTTATCTGTGGCACTCAGTCCCAAACTGATATACTTCAACTGATGTAAACATTTAAAAAACAGGTTAGGTGGTTTTATTTATTTAAAATTTAACCTTTCAGTAAACAGAGAAGCACTGCAGTTTTTAAAAAACATACTCAAGCAGGAGCAAATAGTGCTTTGCTGGGACCAGTCATGGATTAACCCACATTTGTTCCCCCAGTATTTATGGAGACAGAACAGGATTGACCTAAAATAAACTACAGTGCTCATATTCATGCTAATCAAGACACATGCCGCACTGCAGTGTTTTTAATATTTGTTGGACAAAAATTAAGATGACATGACAGAAAGGAATACATTTTATCAGGCTTTGTCCACAGTCTGTACTTTTCAATACTGTGCTTTTGTCTTTGCACTGGATTTGTAGACAATAGGTAAATTACAGAAAACAGAATATCATTAATTGATCAGCTGCGTGCTTCTTTTCCTCCAGGGCTGCTGCATGATGCTTCAGCAGATGTGGACAGTGACCATGACTATGAAACTGTGGATGATACTTTGGTAACAATGATCAAGAAAGCACAAGAAGATATCATGTTCTACTAAAAATGATGTTTTACTGCAGTGGTGAAATTTCACATATCAGCAGTGAGAATTGAATTTAAGACTAACTAAAGAAAAGCTCTCCTGTCTTCAACAATTTCATGTCAGTGTACCAAGACATAGTCTTATACTGTGAGACTCTGCAGTCAGGCCAAACAGTCTGACCAAATGCTATGTTGAAACATATTATTTCATGCTGAACATAACTAGTTTAACACCTTAAAGTCTGGATATTTAAATTCAACCGACATATGCACGGCACAGAAATGGGGGTGATATGATTTAGTTTAATGGACACTTCGATAATACACAGATATCTGATGCTGAAACAGCATCCTTCAGTGTACCCCAAAACATAACACTTGATTCTCTGGTCAGCAAAACTATTCATTCTTCAACCATTCAATCCTCAACCCACTCCATACTCTTCAGTAAGTGGCTGGAGCTTTACCATGTGCAGTATACCACCCACAAACTTTGAATACAAGTTATTTTTATTGTATTTATTGTTGTAGTATTTGCTGAAATGTTATAGAAACTTTGTACTTTGTGTTCAAACTAGCCAGAATGGCGTTGATTTAAATGTGGTAATTTTGGGGACTGTAGCTTGTTTTGTATAGAGTAGCAATAATATAATACCAGGAGTATTATTCTAAAACAAAACATCAGCAACACCTTGCAGTCCAGTAGAAGAGTACATAACAGTCTTGAATTGCTAATGTTAAATGAATACCTCTTAAAAGAGTCAATGCATATTTTTAATCTTCAGGGTAACAGGCTACATTTTATTATGGATGCACTTTTATGTTTATGTCGGCTTTCTACTGTATATAGCATTTGCAGTCTCTAAACTGAACTGGCTCAAAACAGTCCTTGCTGAGAGGCAGCAGTCAAGCTCTGCAGCTTCTCAGGTGATGTGTCCTCCTTCCTATCACATCAAACTAAAAATCTGAGAGTACATCAGATCTTGCTTTTTTATTTCACCATAGGACCTTTCAAGGTGGACTTATATGGACTGGGAATATTTTCCAAAAGCAATTAATGTAGGTTTTTTTTACTTTGTTGAATAATGGCCATCCATTTAGAAGGAGTCACTGCCAAAGAGATAATGTAACAGTTCAAACAAGTTGTCTGTGAGTGGATTTTTATACTACAAACTATATTTTAAAAAACATGGCTTTGAAATGCACCGATTTTGTGTATTCAGACTTAATTAAAACCTGTATACTGTACTATTTCTCTATTAAGCTCAGTCAACTGAATTCACCACAGGTGAACTCAAGTCAAAGAAACAGCAAAAGTACAAGATGCAAAATGTATTGTGTTCTCACAGCTACAGGGGTGAATGTACATGTAAATGAAATATTTCTGTATTCGAGTCTTAATAAATGTGCAAAAACCTCTTGTTCATTGTGAGACTGTGAAATGACGGCAGGAATAGACTGAAGTGTACAAGCAATATTTAGAACTTTATTTTTTTAGTAAAATAGAATTTAAAGTGTACAGGTAAATTATGAAACAAAAGAAGTGCCTGGTTACTGACCAAACCATATTTTGTATAATCTTTTTTATTTAGAAAAAAGGAACATACATAGCCAAAAATTGAGTACTTATGTTCCAAATCTTTAAAATGACCAAATGCTTTACAATGTGTGTGTGTGTGTGTGTTTTACAGAAAAATAATATTAGCTGCTAACAATGGCTTCTTCAAAAGAGATATCTTTAGGATTTTCAAAAAAGCAGAGGCAACCTCAGGAACACAGGTTCTAAGCCAAACATCTCAGGAAACCTAAGCCATGTTTTCTTGAACTAACATCAGCCACATTAACCTCACAGGATTTTACTCAGTTTTGTGGCACTAAGGAGGTATGAAAATGTGATTTAGCTTTCAGTTACAAAACTTGTACTAATAACTTATGCCAGGTTAAATGAAAATACACAACAGTTCTGCTGTAGGAAAGTAAAGGTGCTTAATCGTCACTGTCTGTTGATTTGTAGTGGTCCTCGTCAATGGTGGAAAAAATGTGCCCTTCGTTGCTTAGGAATTCCACCGCTTGCCTGTTAAGAGCAGAAAAAAGTGATATGAATAGCATTTTTGCAATACTTCTGTAGATATATGTATATAGAGTAACACTTATGTTTTCAGCTATCTTCACTAAGGATCTAGTGTTTGGACAGAAAAAAAATATAATTCTGTATAAATTCTGTGTTACAACAGAGATGCAGTAACAATGAAGTATAAAAATGTTAAGGATGTATTTTGGATACTAAAGGGAAATAAAATAGAAAATAAATGCATAAACTTAAAACTCTCCTATTTATGATGTTTAGCAGAGTGGGGATTCTTATAAAGTGTCAGAGCTTCAAATCATCTACTGCTGACCGTGACAAGTGATTCTGTAAACAAATTGGCTAATGCAAACTTTTTTTTTAGAAGTTTTAAACAGAACATTGTGGTTGAGACATCATCCCTTCCATGCAACCAACCAGTTTACTGGATTATTAACAAATGAAACTCAAGTGTGCCCTTATTAGGCACATCTGTGGTCAAGCTAATATCATGTGAACAATTTACTTGAGGCTTTTTAAAGACAGTACAACTCAGTTTCTCTTCCTTCTTAAGCTGAACAGGCAAAACTTTCCACAGTGACACACAAATTACAAATTCAGCATCAAGACATTTTCAGAAAGTTGCCCAATCATATCTTTAGGTCAGTGCTCTGACGTTCAGCTTAGGAAAGAGGATTCTACACCTGTAATACAGTAACTGAATTTACTGTCCAAATCCACCAGAACACCACAATGTAACGGTTATTTTATGATATAGGTTATCCCTTTAAGTCTTAAAGCAGAACATCTTACTTGATGACATTCAGGCTCATGCCACTGAGTCTCTGCTTTAACTCCTGAGTGCTGATGCCCTGTGGGTCTGGGCAGCTTTTTATCAAACTCAGCACCTTGAGAAACAAACAGTGACATTAAAACATACACACAGTTTCAAACTACAAATATAAAAGCATCTTCAAACTCCAGTAATTTATCTGTAAGTGAGTGGGTTCCCAAGCTAGAGGAACAGGAAGTACAAGACAGTGAGAACACTGTGCTGACCTTTTCATTATGGAGCCAACATTTCTAAAAGTAGTACTGTATATTCTAAAACTGTGGCATTAACCATCATCCAGGCTCACCTGATTCTGGCTTGCACTTAACCCATTGTTAACCATGTCGTTAGCACCTGCATAGCCCCCTCTCATTGTATCTATGCCCCCCATGCCAGGCCGTGACATGGGTGTGAGGTTGCTGCTCATTCCTCCTCCGGCCCCTGACTTAAAGAGAAACAGAACTACAATGAACTACATTTTTTGGTACCGGTACAATGAACATCCTCCCACATAGTGTGTGTGTGTGTACACACACACACACACACACACACACATATACATATATATAT